ACATCACCAGAAATTTCTACTACTGCTGTTACTGCTCCTACTCCATCTACAGAAACACCACCTCCCACAAGAACCGAAACACCACCCATATCTACTACAATTGCTGGTACACCAACACCAACATCACCAGAAATTTATACCACTGCTGTTACTGCTGAAACAACACAGACAGAAACGCCACCTCCAACACGAACAGAAACGCCATCAACAGCAACAACAATTGCTGGTCCAACGACACCTACATCAGCAGGAGTTTCTACTACTGCTGTTACTGCTCCTACTCCATCTACAGAAACACCACCTCCCACAAGAACCGAAACACCACCCATATCTACTACAATTGCTGGTACACCAACACCAACATCACCAGAAATTTCTACTACTGCTGTTACTGCTGAAACACCAATCACAGAAACACCACCTCCAACACGAACAGAAACGCCATCAACAGCAACAACAACTGCTCGTCCAACGACACCTACATCACCAGGAATTTCTACTACTGCTGTTACTGCTCCTACTCCATCTACAGAAACACCTCCTCCCACAGGAACAGAAACATCATCCACAGCTACTACAACTGCTGGTACAGCAACACCAACATCACCAGAAATTTCTACTACTGCTGTTACTGCTCCTACTCCATCTACAGAAACACCTCCTCCCACAGGAACAGAAACATCATCCACAGCTACTACAACTGCTGGTACAGCAACACCAACATCACCAGAAATTTCTACTACTGCTGTTACTGCTCCTACTCCATCTACAGAAACACCTCCTCCCACAGGAACAGAAACATCATCCACAGCTACTACAACTGCTGGTACAGCAACACCAACATCAACAGAAATTTCTACTACTGCTGTTACTGCTGAAACACCAATCAGAGAAACACCACCTCCAACACGAACAGAAACGCCATCAACAGCAACAACAACTGCTGGTCCAACGACACCTACATCACCAGGAGTTTCTACTACTGCTGTTACTGCTCCAACACCATCTACAGAAACACCACCTCCCACAGGAACCGAAACACCATCCACAGCTACTACAACTGCTGGTACACAGACACCGACATCACCAGAAGTTTCTACTACTGCTCTTACTGCTGCACCATCATCTACAGAAACACTACCTACGACAGGAACAGAAACTTCTCTGACACCATCAACAATTACTACAACCATTGTTAAATCAACAGTTTTGACAGTAACATCTACAGTGACAGAAATGCCATCGACTAAGTTCACTGTATATACAGAATCACCACCTAAAAGAACACATGCTGCATCACCTCAAATTGTCATCACAACGATCTGTCACTGTACATTTGCAAATCAAACTTTCCCACCTGGTAAGTACTACATGCAATTTTTAACTTTCTCCTATAGTTTTTTGATTTCAGAATTTGATAAAAGCATGAACAATTGACATTAATTATGCATATTCTATTATTCTAACTATAGAGTCAATCATTTACAACAAAACTGATAAAGCAGGCTGGTGCTACTTCGCTTACTGCAACTCCAATTGTGTTAGTGAAATAACACAGAAACCATGTCCTCAGACTACCACAGTTCCAATTTCAACCGTTCCAAATGACTGTACCGATGTCAACAGAAAGGTTAAAAAAGGCACTTGTCATGTACAATTTATATTTTCCAAAATAATGTTATTCTAAGTGACAATTGAACTGCAATATTATTTGAATCTTTAACAGAATGGAGAGACATGGAATGAGGGATGTACCACTAAAAACTGCATAAATGGGAATGTTACTACAAGCCCTGTACAGTGTGATCCAGCTGATTCTGTCATACCTACATGTGTCAACGGACTTAAGCCTGAGAAGGTTTATTATAACAATGGCTGCTGCACTAAGTACGAGTGTCTATGTGAGTTTAAACTTTAAACCATGCGGCAGGAAATTGATAAGTAACACTGTCCTTGTATTCTAATTTACCTTGGCTTAACTTGTTTTCTGAAAAACAGGTCGATGCAGTGGCTGGGGTGACCCTCATTACAATACGTTTGATGGAAAATATTATGTTTTCCAAGGAAATTGCGACTATGTGTTGGTCCGAGAAATCATTCCAAGATACAATATCAGTGTCCATGTTAAAAACTATTATTGCGATGTTACAAATAATTTTGCTTGTCCAGAGTATGTGACTGTGAAGTACAAATCCTATGAAATCAAGCTAGCAAGTAACAGTAAAGAGATACAGGTAAGTCAGGACTATTTCAGACAAATTTGATCACAAACATTAACATATTCTTGACACACTGTAAAATCCAGAACATGACAATTTAATACATTTTCAATGCTAATATCACTTAACACTGCTAGCTTAGCATACAGTATATACACTAAAACACTGCAAAAAAGTAATCTAAGGTTCATTACAACTCAAAAACCCTTGTTGCCTACAGGTTTACGTCAATGATGCTGTTAAGGTCCCAACTTTCTTGAATGAAGATTTCAGCATCACTACCTCGGGCATGGCAGTGATTTTGAACATTAATGAAATCAAAGCTGAGATTTTAGTCAGTCATCAAGGCTTTGAGATCAATCTCCCGTTCACCTACTTCCATGGTAATACAGAGGGACAGTGTGGTGAGTACAGTGTGGTGCCCTTGCTGCAATGACTATAACAATGATAAAGAGAATTTCTTCTGTGAGACAATGCAACAACTTTCACAGATTTACAACTTTATTGGCATGTCTAGTCTTTGTCAATAAAAATTTTGAAATTCTGTCAATATTTTTAGGTGTTTGTGACAATGATGCCACAAATGACTGCAGACGTCCCGATGGAACAACTGACCAGTCATGTGAGCAAATGGCAGCATTGTGGGCGGACTCCCCAGAATGTGAAACCCCTCCAACACATCCAAGCGAACCTCTTCCTACCTGCACAGCACAAATCTGTGAGGTCATCAAGAGCGAGTAAGGCTAAGCCCACAACAATCACTCAGTAAATTTTCAGAAACCCTTCAAGGTGAAATCTGGAATTTCTCCTCCACTAACAGCACCAAATAGAATTGCAAAAATATTTAAACACCCCCTCTATCTGCCACTGTTCTGCATTCAGGTAGTTGCACCCAAAACACCATTGGTTGAGCCAGTGTTACTCTGTCCAGTCCACTCGGACTGTTATAAACTGCAATTCCATTTGATACATCAAGTTGCACAAAAATTACACACTTTACCTATAACAAATTAAAAAGAGATTTCAGAGATAGTTTTTATGACAATTACCTTTTTTGTTGAACCATGATATGCTTCAGTTTACGTTTTCTCCCTAAACTTTTGCATTTTGTTCAGTTTGTTCAAGAGCTGTCACGACATCGTTCCCTATCAAAGCTACTATGAGGCATGTAAATATGATGTGTGCTACAAGAAAAATGACTCCATGGCCTGTGCCAGTGTGGAGGCCTATGCACAGCTATGCGGCCAGCAGTCTATATGTGTGGACTGGAGAGACTCAGCTGACCTCAACGGGCTATGCGGTAAGAAAACCGAATGAACCTACAGTAACACAGTGATGCATTTTTTTCTGTCTGTATCCTAAATCGCTTGATTGTCTTTGGTTAATAGCATACAAATGTGCTGATCACAAAGTCTTCAAGGCATGTGGGCCTAAAGTTGAAAGAACCTGCAGTACAAGGTAACCACTCTCTATATCAATTAATTTCCATAAGTGTAAATGTAATACTGTATTGTCCAAATTTCACTGCATTAATAACTTTAATGCCACATGTGCTTGACTTACAACCAGATACAATGAGATTTTTGTGGAAGACCAAAGCCAAACTGACCATCAAACATTCATGGAAGGTTGTTACTGTCCTGACAATACATATCTAGTTAGTTCCACAACAGATCAGTGCACACCTACTTGTGGTAAGCGATATTACTTCATTTACTCTCTCTATATTTGTTATAAATAATGTGTCTTGAAGCCAAAATGTTATTTTTCCATTCCCCACATATAGATTGCATTGGCCCCGATGGATTACCAAGACAGGTATGTCTCTTTTAGCAGTAGCAGCAAAACCATTCACATGACATTTTCCAGGAATGTGAACTTAAAGGCACAATATGTAAGATTTTTTTATTAAAATATCCAAAAACCACTAGAACAGTGTTATATATTTTGCTGACTTGTGTACTTACATTATCCCAAATGTTTCGAAGAATGTTTAAATCCAGAGAAATAAGCTAGTTAATAATTTAACTAGTGACACGGACCGTGTCTATAGTGTCATTGTGTCGCCTGCCAATGACGTCATAACCCCTCGATTTCTGGTTTGTTTTGTTTTGTAGAAAACATGGAAACACCAAAGACGCTTTAATATGTTGTGCGTTTTAATAGACCGGTGATGACCGCACAGAGTAGCATTATAACAGAACTTTCAAAGGTATCTAGTATGATAAAACAGCGCTGCTTTTTTTTACCACATACGCACGACCGGAAGGAGCGGAAGCGGCATAATAAAAGCTCCGCTGCTTTCGAACCGTGCGTCACGCTCGTTCAGCGGCCTCATTTCGCTTCGATGGCTTTCAGCCTCACCCTGCTTCATTCTACTACGTTAATAAATCATTACTCATCCATGAACATGATTTCTGCCCGAGTCCCGTCGGATTGCATCGGCTGTGGGAATGAAGACGACAACTCCCATGATTCCACATTCAGCCACGGCGTCATCAAACTACGCCTTTGTCTATTTGTTTATTTTGAATACGCGCCCTCTAGCGGCGAAAATTACATATTGTGCCTTTAACTCTAGTCCTACCACTACCCCCTTACACATGTTTAAAAAAGCAGAGCTTAACCATTACACTACTGCAAGATAATGGCTGTATACAGATAATTTACTCATTCGGTCAAAGTAAAAACTGCATTTGAACACATTCTACCCCATCTTATACCCATATCTTTACCTTACTTCCTCTGCTATAGCCAGGAGATACATGGATCGTGAACTGTACAACATACAAATGCTCCACTGAGAGCTTTGGTGTTGTTCAAGAGCCTATGAATTGTCCAACCATAGAGCCCTGTGGCCACGAATACAAAAGCATCATTGAAAACTGCTGTCCAACCTGTGGTGAGTAATCAAGTACAATGACAATCAGAGAGCTAAACAGACTAAATGAAATAAACATGATAACAAAACTGACCTCATTTACTGTCCTAGTACAAATTTCTGATCTAACTGTGCATGATTTATCAATTAAAGGTTCATAATCATCCTTCAGATTACAAATACAACCTCCGACTCAACTTTCCTGAAATATCCTTTAGGCCACAAATACAGGGAAAAATTCTGATCAATAGCTTATTATTTTCTAAAATCTTAATAGTAAATGAATGCAGGGTAATGTTAATATAAAGGAATAGATTTGAAAATCATACTGTGAACTTCATATTCAATCTCCATGTCCAGTTAAAAATGTTTCCTTGAAAGTGGGTGCCAGTGTCAGAAGCAGTGTAGTTCTCCAAAGTCCTCTTCCAAAATTCTAGGCTTCATTTCATTATAGAATTTTATCATCCAATTTTGGATGGGGGAAAAAATCTAGTTGAATATCTGTAGGAAACTTCCCCAAAGTAGACATTCAGACTGTGTGAAATAAATATTTCAAAGCACATTTTATCTGAATGTGTAACCACATCGAATTAGAACCAGCTGTAAACTTGTAAAATGCAATAAAACATTTCAGAATAATTTACATAATGCTTACATAATGCCTCCTCTGCCCATTCAGTGTGTGATACCAGCCAGTGTTCTATGAAATGTGATGTGGGATATGAGTTCGCAGCAGAGATACCTGAGGACAGTTGCTGTCCACCATGTGGTAAGTCTCAAATTTCATACCCAGACAACTACTATTAAACTTCAAAGTACAGTATTGTTCACATTTAATTTTTTTCTTCTAAAGAAAGTACAAGTATTGTACAAAAAAATGTAATGAAAATTTTGTAAAGCTTTTGCAACATTTGGAGTTTACCTGAATAAAATGTGATATACTACTACAACAGCTGCTAATTAATTACATTAAAGCTCTTTAACTTTCTAAACAATTTCTGACTGTATTTTTTTTTCTATTCAGTGCCCAAAGATGTATGTGTGCACAATAACACTGAGTACCAGGTGAGCTGCTGGGTTCATATGTTCATGCTAACTGTAACATTAACAAACAGGAAATGTCATAAATATCATATTTATATCACATTACATTATATGCTTTTCACTGTTAAAAAAGGAATCCAGAAGAATGTGTAATCTTTATCTAAATCCATAAACTTTTCTATAATGATGGGTTCACTTTCTTTTTAGCCTGGAGTTAAAATCCCTACGGAGCCTTGTTTGGAATGTTACTGCCAAATGGATAAAGACCCACAGACCCAACTACATTCTGTGGCATGTGTAAATAAAGTCTGTTCACCTTGTGCTGAGGTAATAATTACAATTTATGCTTATTATTATCATATTAAACATTAGGATAGATTTATATTATAAATTCTGAACTTGCCTGAACTTCTAGTAAAGCCCTTTGGGACTGAGGATGAAGTTTTGAGTTCTGGTAGTTACAGTCTGTACATCAAGTGTCTCAAAAGATCAAGTTCAAATTGATGAATTTACTACAATCTAGTACTCGTTTGATTTTCCAAGGGCTTTGAGCGTGTAGAACAAGAAGGAGAGTGCTGTGGAACATGCAAGCAAATCAGCTGCATTTATACTGCACCAGACAACACCACACATACTCTCCAGGTATATATTAAAACATTCACAAACTTTTCTATGAGCATCTATTTCACCAGTCAACGAACCTTCTCTGTTCTTCAGTCCTCAAATAGCATGTTTCCCTTTTTCTTTTAGGTTGGAGAAGTGAAACATTACAATTGTGAGAATATTACCTGCAGTGAAATTAATGGCTTGTTTGTGACAGAGAAGATCACACCAAAATGCCCTGACTTCAATCCAGATGATTGTGAGCCTGTAAGTCAAATATATATATATATATACATATATGGTATACTTTATTCTCAAACATTACATCACCAATAATTTATTTGCTTCAACAACTTGACTGTTGTATGGTTTGGTTACTTTCTACTAATGTTGAAATGTGTGACTGTTTACATATAGGGAACTGAGAGATATGATGCAGATGGATGTTGCAAGATCTGTAAGAAACTCTTTAATTATTGTCCATTCATTCGCTCAAAATGATTGACCAATAATGTTTGACAAATTAATTATTTTGTCATCACATCCCTCAACTGTACTAAAGATTAAGGAAGAATCATCTCAAGCATATGTAATACATAAAACAATGCATCATATGTACAATTCTCGAGATGGAGTCACAAGTTTACTTTTCTCTCAAATATCTTAGGTGAGCCCAAGACTTGCGTTGTTTTGAAGAACACAACCCATGTGGATGTAAATGACTGCAAGTCCATCCACCCCATAGAAGTGACATCCTGCAGTGGTCACTGTGGCACCCAATCAATGTAAAAGCACTTGCACATACAATTGATAATGAAAATTTTGTACAGCCTTGATTATTTAATAATTTCACATGACTAACAACAATCACATTTGAACTGATTGCTACAGCAAAACTTCCATGTGAATAGCTGGTATGGTTACAGTCAATTTCATTTCTTTTTAATATTTTACTCTTATTCATCAGAATGCATTATTTAACATTCAAAATTCTAAAATTCTAAAATCATCACAGCAGAATAATCTGAGATTTTTCATTAACTTTACCATATCGGATAACTCATAATTACAAAATCAGCTAAAAGAAATGAGCATTTCCTCCACAGCCACACCTCCATTCTAATAATACAGTGCTATTTTGCTTTACAAAAAAGCTAACAAGACTGTTCATCTTCAGGTATTCAATGGAAAAGAACAGCATGATGCACATCTGTTCTTGTTGCCAAGAGGAGAAAGTCAGTCGTCGACAGGTGACGCTGAAGTGTGCCAATGACAGCGAGGTTGTTCATGACTATATTCACATTGAGAGCTGCACATGCACTCCTAGAAAGTGTGTAGACTAAAAGGCCAATAATCTGAGATTTTTCATTAACTTTATCATATCGGATAACTCATAATTACAAAATCAGCTAAAAGAAATTAGCATTTCCTCCACAGCCACACCTCCGTTCTAATAATACAGTGCTATTTTGCTTTACAAAAAAGCTAACAAGACTTTTCATCTTCAGGTATTCAATGGAAAAGAACAGCATGATGCACATCTGTTCTTGTTGCCAAGAGGAGAAAGTCAGCCGTCGACAGGTGACGCTGAAGTGTGCCAATGACAGCGAGGTTGTTCATGACTATATTCACATTGAGAGCTGCACATGCACTCCTAGAAAGTGTGTAGACTAAAAGGCCTGAAGACTTGATAAAAGATGCTGATCTTAAAGCTATTCCTTTGATTATTGCTGATGTGAGCTAAATTACTTAAGACAAGGGATATTTGAAATAAGGAACACGGCAAGGAATTTATGCTTTTATTCTAGGGCTAGGGTTTTCACTTTAAATATGATCTTACATGTTTAAATTATCTGTAACAAAACTATTTCAATTGTCTTTTCTTTGGTATAATGAAAGTTCTGTATAATTTTGATGAAATAAGTGAATGTTCAACACAATAAAGAAGTTAACCAGCAGCAAAAAAAAAGTTCATTGCATTCCTTTTTTTTTTTTTTCAAAAACATTTGACAATTAAGTTGTAGTCTCATACTCAACTGTGCTTATAAATGGCTTTTGTGTCCACCAGACAAAGAAAAAATTAAGAAAAATTTTTTTTAAAGCAAAGCAACTGTAGACATCTACTGTAAATGTGCATTTCCAGATACTTTATGGGAGTCAAGATACTATGCATATCCCAAGACCATGTGTCCAAATTTTAACCACCAAGTTTACTGGGAAGGCTTTGAAAGTCCTAGCCAAAAAGAGTAAACCTTATGTACTTGTATATAATATTATATTATAGGCCTATACCATACAATACAAAATCATGCAATATATGCTTTGTCAATGCTTGAGTAATTTAATCACATTAAATAAATATTGCAACAATACAATATTATAATATTGCCACATATAATCACATAACTGCTCTCATAACTGACAATCAACGACAAATAATCATATTTCCAATTCCTAACTCAGCAGCACATGTCAGTATACAGTAGGAACTTATAGCTACATCAAACAGTGTCAGATACAGACTATGATAAATAAAATAATTTGTAAATGAATGGAGAGCTCCAGTCCATCTAATATCAACTCACCTATATGTCAAGAAAATCCATCATCCACTCCTTAGTAAAATATAAACAGTAAATTATAGAAATCGCCCAAATGTTTGTACTCATTCAATATTTTGACTTCACCTGTTGCCACTAAGAAAGCAGAGAAAACAGTCCCATTTGACTGTTAAAAGGGTAGTTCTGCCTACTTCTATTTCTTCTAATTTTTTTTTATTTCAAATCCGCCGCAGTATTACATGATTTTACCAAATAGATTCATTCTTGAGAAGTGGGACAAAACAGGGTGCAAAATTGAAAAAATAAAACCTTGTACTCAGACAAATGAAACTACATTTATGTATCTTATATGTAACGTTACTAAGCTACTGAGCTATGCTTTGATACAACCTCCCAACTTTTCTCTTTTTTAACAAAATGTGCTTTTTTACCTTGGACTGTGTAATATAATTTCAACTTTATCTTTAACAGCATTCAAGATGTTTTTAACATTTCAAAACACATTCTCGTATTAGCAGACAGATTACACTTTCACATGTGACCAATAATTCCACAACAAATATAAAATATCATAATGAAATATTATCAAAATATTCAACTGACGGAGGTGACAGAACTGACGGAGTTGACACATCTGACGGACGGTGTTGACAAAAAGTGGGGACGCAACTTTAAAATCTTATGAAACATGCATGTGTCATTAAAAAAACAAACTTGCTTTGATAGGAGATATTATTAAGTGTTGCTTTTGATAAAACAAGCTCTTTTTCATCATTAAAAAAACAATTTTATCCATTTTTTTTGCATATGAATGATTGAACCCTTCTCTGTGGACACACTGTTTTAGATGTAGTGAGAGAACATTAAGAAACACAGATTTGGTATAATAATGAGAAAATTAATTTGAAGGTGATAATTGTGTTAAATACATTCTATTATTAATCCCTCATGACATTTAAAATTGAAAATATTTTTATTTTTTAAAGCTAATAGCAGTTACCATTGCTGGACCTGTTTTGTCCCACGTCTCAAGATCGACTGTAATCACAGACGATTGTGATTGGTGCTCCTTAGCAAGCGCTGAGAAAAGTTACAGGTACCACATACAAATGCAACCTAGGAACAGGCATGGCTAGGAATTTTAACATAATTATTAATCTTAATAATGAAATAATAGAATAATAGGAGTAATAAACAAACAGTGAATAGTTACAAATAAATAAAATAAAAAAGACTGGACCGCTAACCCCGCCCACACTGGCCAATCAAATGTACAGACGCGACATGACGCAATAGGAAGCGTTTCATGGACACACACACACTGGCGGGAGTTTCGGTTGTTATTAAACAAGCTAGCTAACGCGGGTTACCGACTACAAAAGGCAAGAGATTTCAAGCAACAGTTCTTCTGAAAAGGAACATTTATAAACAAACCTACATAAAATTCACTAAACAGGCAAGTGTTTGGTATTGTAAAGGCAGACTACACATTTAACGCTTTCATATTTCAATATGTCTTATGCGAATCTGATAGTTGTTGCTACAGTTGTTCTGGTTTGTTTGTTTCAGTATGTATAAATATGAACAGAATATCAGTAGATCTTAGTATTTTAACAAATTAGTCTGTTACATATTTTAATGTTTCACATTTAGTAATTACGTAAATAATGAACATGTATGCATATATAATTAGTGCATGTGTTGCTTCATAAGTGACTGTTCTTTGAGTCAGTTTTCACATTATAAATGGTTATTTAATAATATTTGTATATTGGTTATAACATCCCTGAGCTGTCAAATATAGTAAGCAGACAGTAATTATGAATGAAATTTCTGTCACCCCCAACTTAATCACCCTCATATTGTTCTATACCTATAGGCTAATATTTTGTAGTGGAACACAAAAATAGAAATTTCTGAATAATGTTTGGAGAAATACAGTGGTATTTACAGTTAACTGCAGAAATACAGTGACAAATATTGTGACCATTACTGTCAAGCTCCAAAAAAGAGCAAAAAGCACTATAAAACAGAAATGACAAATTCTCATTTTTGGACGTCGCGAGCTCCTTTGAAATGATGTCTTGCTAATGATGATGTATATTCACAGGTCAGTGTGCGTAGATGTCTAATATGAAGGTTACGGTGGATAAAATCCTATCATTATCGGAGAGTGATGGTGTAGATGAGCTACAAAAGCATCTTGCTTTGCTGTCTGATGATCAGGTTTGTGTTTAATGTGTGTACTGATATGTAATGAGGCTGCGGTTGATGCAAATAATCTGAAATGTCATGTACAAGGTAGCATTTTTAAATTACATGCAGATATATGCACTTTTAAATGTGCTTTTTGTGTCTTTCTAAAGCTCACAACCATGCTTACTAATAGTGCTCTGAAAGCGAAGGACACAGGCATCCTGATCAAAGCCATATTTAAAGGTAGCATGTTTTAATTCTATTTAATTTGTGTGTGTTTAATCTGTACTAACTCTGTGCTGCCTCATCAAGCAGAGCTGAACATCAAACTGTGTTTTTGTGTTTGTGATGTTAGGTTCACCGGTAAGCGTTTCGCATGGCGCTAACCGCAGACTGCTTGTGTACAAGCACTGTATTCCACTGTGTGAATCTGGAGACCTGCAGACGGAAGTGGCATCAGATATCATTGGACTTCTGATGTTAGAGGTGAGTTGCTTACCATGCCGTATAAAAATTAATAGCAATGCACTGGTTATCATCTTGGCTGGTAACCAGTAGGTTCGAATCCCACATGGGTTGATCTGGAGGACTGAACCTGTAATTAAGTGTGTTTTCTAAATGGTTTATTATTTGTAGTTAATGAATCTTTGGTTCAAGTCCAAAAACCTGATTTGGACGAGTTGAACTTGGTATTAATACTGTACCTTTGTAATATGCTTTTCTTCTGTGCCATAGACACACAGTCTACCTGGTCACGCATTAGCCACGTTAGCGTCTCTATATGTGGATGCCATCAAAGTAGGTGAGATGAATAGTGGGAGATCCCTGGAACTTTTCCCTA